GGTTAGGAAGTTGGGGAATCAGACCCCAGGCATAGTTCTCACACGTGTGTTTGTTCCTGCGCTAAATGTTACACACCCCCCCAGCGGACTGTCAGGAGTCCCCCCAAGGTCAACAAAGAAAGGAAGAAAAGCTCTCTGTCGGTGTAAATAGCCCTCAGCCCTGACACAGGGGGAAAAACTCCCGCAGCTGCTTTTGTCAGAGCCCTGCCCCAGCAGCCACCACGTCGCTGTGTAATGCAACGAGACAGCCTAGCTGCCTAGCTGCTGTGGTGCCGCACGTGAGACAGTTTCTTCTTCATCACCTCTTTTTCCCCTCTCTGAACTATAGGGGCTGTGAGTCCTGGAGACCTGCCTTGTTGGGAGGGCTGTGATGTTCACCCTGTTCAGGTTTGAGAACATCAAACCTCAGAAGTTGTGTGCAGCATTGCTGGGCGCTACAGTCACTGCAGTTTCTGACCCCTAAAACCTCTAGGTCCGGTGGATGCCTATAACCACGCTTTCTAGAGAGTTTTCAGTAAGTGCTAGTGGAAACAGGATTACTGCATGTGGCATAAGCAGTTGCCAGATAAACTAAACGTAGTGGTTACTACAAGGATTTCAGCGAGACAGGACAGTTTTTCAGAAAGTGGGAGTTCATCATACAGAGTTACATTTATCTCACTTAACATTAGACGTGCCAGTAAAAGTAGGCATGTAGCCTAATTTTTAAGTCTAGGCCTCCTCTGTAAGCAGTAGCAAGAAGCCAGACCCCCCAAGGACCAAGTATCCCATACTAAAATACCTGGGATGCATTTTCCCTCAGAGCTTCTCAAATTTTAGGTGGCTAGGCAGGGCAGCTGCTCACCCTCTACCACTGCAAAATCCATTGCTATATGCCATAGTATGTCCCACTCCGTTTCCATTCCTCTGTTGCTCCTAACTCTGCCTCCTGCTGACTCCTTTGTCCCCTTTCCCTGGTCAGGGTGTCCCTGCTGCTCCTCACACTTCAGAGCCCACTGAACCACAGGGTGGCACTGATGGTTTCATGGAGGTATCTGTGTACTTCACCTCAATCTTGCTGATTAAGACCATCTCTTTTCAGGACAGCCTCAGCTCCATATGCACATGGTTTGTATGGGACATTCACCTTCATGGCTTCAGCCTCCTTGGCCCTAATGGAATTTGCCAGGGGGGTGGATTATGGGAAAGTATGTCATTTTTCCTTTTATTAATCCAAGAAAAATCAAGCCCATCTAATGCCACAAGAAAATCGAGATAACTGTATTTCATCAGCTTCCCAGACACCTCAGCATACAGATAAAGTTAAACCTCACCATTCATTACTTTTTCCTCACATCTGCTCTCTTTTCCCTACTAATTTTAGTTTATAACTGCAGTGAGTCAACAAGGGTAATCCACTTGCAAGTCCTTTGAACCAGTCTATGTCTGAATGTCAAGGTTATAGCCATATGGCCTCTCATCTCCATTCCCACCCTTCTTTTACCTGGTCATGGAAGGAAATATCCAACAGTTGTTCTTTGTCTTCTCCAAGGAGAAAGTAGCTGCTCCTACAGTCTACTTCTGACCTGTTGGTTGCTTGGAGCATACTGCATAAATCAATGCTTTTCCTTCCCTCTTCCCACCACTCACATTGCTAATCTCTCCTCTCATCCCCAAAATACAAAACATCACTTCCTACTTTCCAGAAGCAGCCCACTTTTCTGCCTTTACACCTGCTGGTCCTCAGGTTCTGATGAGGCAGACTACAGAAAGCTCAGGAACACAAATTTAGAATACAGATAGGGTACAAATTATAAGGTAGGATACAGAATATACAGGGTTCAGAATATATGAATAAAATACAATTTAAGAACCTTGGATGATTAAGTAGTCATCTCTCTGTGTTTTCTTCCCCAGTCCAAGTATTAATACTTTTCCGGAAGTGCCTTTACTTTCATTTGACACTGAGAATTTACAATTCACATGGTGAAACGCCCTCGTTCGGGGGACAGAGGCATTTCTTTCCTGTTTCAGCAGCACATCAACTTGGATTCTGATTAAAAGAAACTCAATTCAGTGAGCATCTGTAACCTGAAAAATTGGTGTCTTTGGGAAGTGCCAGTGATTTTGCAGCAGATCATGCTCTCTGTTCATCTATCTGTAACTGGTGGAGGTGGAATTTCTTTCACTCTGGATTCATATACTCCCACTGCAGTACTACTCTTTCTAATGACAGTATAGTACTGTACCTGCTTCTTAAAGATGCTGCAGAATGCGTGCATGTTGGAGAGATTCCCCTTTCCCCAAATAGAAGAGGATCTATAATTTTGGAGAGGCAAAATTCAAACGTGGGCAAAAAAATTAGGATCTTGATGTCCACGGACCTCTGAACAGAAATTATTTGGAGACTAAAGACTTAATCTGAATGACTGCTGGCTTTGAGATTGATATTGCTCTGAAATGTCTTCTATTGAAACTGGGATATTTGCAAGAAGGAAGGGATCTGTTTAACAAGCTCTTATGCAACTTACAAAAATGAGCCTATGAGAAAAATGACAATTCTGCTGAACTTCAAGGAATCACACATGACTAGATATTTAGGGCTTCCCATCTCTGTTTAGAAATGTTTGAATCAGTTATTGCAATGCTTGTTTATTTAACACAGACTTCCATGAGTGCGTCACTGTTGCTAGATCAGTCACTCTTGGATAATTCCCTCCCTTTGCAGCTTTCTGTGTACATGTATTATATGTCCTCAGTACCTGATCCTGAACACTTATTTCAGAAGAACAAGCTGAAGGAGAGTGTCTGTGTGCAAATATCACTGACTGGCATGCCAGTTGCTTGTGCTGCCTGAAAGCTGCTGATCTCAAATCAAACCTTTCTTTTAACAATAAAAACGATCCCTGAAAACTGCCAACGTGGAGGCCTTTGGTAACAGACAATAGCTTAGTTCAGCCTAGACAAACACAAAACAAAATCTGTAGTTGTACTCAAGTATAATTTATTCAAGACAGTTCTGGTTACCTTTTTGTCTTGGAATGCCAGAGGGAACATCCAAGTTACAGCAGCTAAGAGCCCCAAGCTGTCTTATACCTCCTCCTCCTCCTCCTCCTCCTCCTGCTCTCTCAAAGAGCCCCTTCCCAGGAACTCAGTAAGGGAGCTTTCCACATTGCAAGTCCTTGAGACGCGTTACATTCCTCTTAGTATTCTGTTTGTATCAAAATAAATTATTTACATAGGTCATAATGACCTGCACAGCTTTTGAAATGCAGAGTATGAGTTCTGAGTTCATTTGCACCCGTGTAAAGCAGGGATAACCTTAGTGCAGTTGGCTGTGGAAGCACTTGGGTGTGAAGCTGGCATCAGTGGGACCTGATTCAGAACTAGTACCCCTACACACAGCCTGTCACCTTTAGCACCACATATATATTGGTCATTTTACAGGAATTTCTTACCAGGCTGCTACATCATTTACGGTTGGACTTGATGATCTTAAGGGCCTTTTCCAACCTAAATGATTCTATGATTGTATGACTCTATCATCATTAGCAGGTAAGATGCAAGTGGTAGGGAAATGCACAACCTGCTGCTGATGTCCTTTCAGTAACCAGCCAAGTGAAGGCTCCAACAGAAATCCCAGCAGATCTCGCTGAGGTAAGTTACTGCCCCCAGCTATCTGCTCTACTCGTCTGCTGGAGATTTCTGCAACACCGCACAAATATGAGAAGCTAATGTAGACCACTCACACCCACCCCAGGAATGGAGCAGCTGAGGGGTTGTGCTGATGATGCATAGGAAGCTTCAGCAGAGGGGCACCAGCAAACTGTTGCAGCTCTCATGTCCCAGTCTGCCACAGCTGTCTGCTCAGAACATTTTTCTCCTGCGCTTTGTGATCAGTAAATGCCACGCTCTTTCCAGTGGCAGGAGATTTTTTGCAGACAAAACACTGCTTCCAGGGGGGGCAAAAAAACCCTGAACGTGCCCTTTTCCTCAGATTACTGTGCACTGGATGTGCAGATAATGCAACTGGCTGCAAACAATCCTGCTACATTAGGGTGGGGGCTGCCTATTGCTTTTTTGAACAAGTTCAAACCTTAGCACGAACAAACATGGTAAATATTAATATGAAAGCTCACATGAAAACCAGGCGGAGTAGGAGAGACTTTGTGAGCCCCTTCCTTTGATAAATACTAAACTTCCTGTCACTTCATAGGAAGTGTTATGACACTGATGGCCACAGACTGGCTGCAGACTGGGCGCAAACTGAGTATATTTGTTTACCTGAAAGAACACAAGTTTAATGGAAAAACATAAGATTAATAGGTCAGGGCAGAAATAAAAGGAGGTGAGAGGGACAAATGGGGGCTAAAGGCAAGGTCAGAAGACTAGCAGATAGGGAAATGTGGTAGTGAAATAGTCAGTCAGTGCAAAGTTCAGCATTTTCAGAGAAACCAAAGAGCCCTGAGTTAACTGTTTCTGTAGGTTTGCTGGCTGGCTGGCTGGCGTCTCTGGCTGCTGTGTATCCCCACGTGCTGAGAGGAAGGTGAACATGAAAGAGATACTTATTACCAGAAGACTAGCAGGAATCCCATTGAATCTTTAGCTTTGTCAGACAGCACTGGTAGACTCCATTGTCGGTGATCTGTAAACTGGACTAAGCACATTGCTCTTCTATCGTAGGACACAAGACCTAGAAGCACATTTTGGAAGCTGAGACAAATCCTCTTCTCTCCGATTTAGGCTTCCATATGGTCCGACACAGCGTGGCTGCAGCAGGCCTGCCGTCTATCCAAAGTGACCGTACAATGAATATGTCTTAACTGTCAATATCAAATGAAGATCTAAGTCATGTCTTTAAAAATTGCATACAGATCCAGCGCCTGGGCAAAGAGCATGCTGATGTAGAAATAGTGAAGTCATTCAAGTAGGCACACTCAGAGTGATTCCATATCGGGAACCTGAAAAAATACAGGAAGAAAACAGTGATTACTAAATAATTTCTACTACTGAGCCAAATCTTTTAGCCTGCTGTAAACCAAAACTTATTCTGAAGTAGTTTCCAGTTGACTTTGGTCCCTTGTGAGATGGTAGTTTCAGCTGCTAAAAGCAAGGTGAGTGATAAATCATGTTAGAAAAGCCTGTTTAGCTCATGCAGTGTTGCATGTATCTCTGTTGTATGAACGGTCCATACCAGGTATCACACAATAACAGGAGGAAAGACAAAAGACAGCTTATGATATATCCTGCCTAGAATTACTGAGGTCATAAACGCTCTGGAGAGCGAGACAAAGGGAACTGCTGTTTGATGGGCCTGATGCAGAGCTGTTGTAGCCCACACATTTTCTAATACAAATACGGGGAAAATCTGGGTTGTCTGCAGGTTGTGACAAACTCACTAAAGCAGGTATGATTTTTCTTAGGAAGCTGCTTAATCCACCTGAAGATGATTATTCCCTTATACCTGTCACTTCATTCTCTTTCATCCCTAAAAGATGTCTGTGTATTTGCTAGATATTGTGTATTTCAGGAAGACGAGCACAAAGGATCACATTGAAAACCAAGAATTCGAAGATCTGAAAAGACACTGAAATGTCTATGCTACGTGCTGAAAAATATGTACAAACTAAGGTAAATAGGGATGATCAATAACATTATCTTAATGTGCTGAGCTACTAAAAAACCATTCTTGAATCAGGGACTTCTCTACATTAATGCTATTGGAGTTAGATCAGTAATAACTGCAAAGAGTTCATTTTCAAAGTCATAGTTATAAATCACAGGAAAAAAACTAATCCTGATAGCAATAACATTGTGCTGTAAACCCTAATTCTACATTTTCTTAAGTACGTGTTAGACAATCACAAGGAACTTACACGTCCGCCTCCAAGGCAATACCGTTCTCCCAGTAGAAGCTTTCACCTTTCTTGCGCAATCCAATCCAGGAGTCATCTATTCTCAAACGCTTAGCTAAAGAATGCTAAACAAAAAAAAAGGCATTTTTGTCAACATGAGCTCTCACAAGGAGAAGTAAATCCCTCCTGTGACTTTTGAGGAGGACTAGTTCATCACTGTCATCTAGAACACTTTCATAAGCATTTCATTGAGAGTTAAGAGCCTAATTCTGCCTTTGAATTGACCCTTATAGTTATCATAAACTTTAGTGAAGTTATTGAAATCTATATCCTTGAAAATTATTACTGTTCACTACACACAAAAATACCCAAACACCATGTATTGGTTGAGTCCATCTCTATATGTTTATCAAGCTCTACATATGCAACTTAGTCTAAATAGGCTGGTACATACAGGTGTTTCCTGCATTTCAGATGGGCATATGGGGACACCTCCCCTTCCCAATTATTAATTAAATAATTTAAATTTAAAGTTTTTTATCTGTGGATCTACAGATAAAGAGAGTAGAAGACAGCTCACTGCTCCAGAAGTTTGCAACAACCTGTATCAAACACAGCAAAGAATGATGGAAGATAATAGAAACAGCACTTGCAATGGGCTAGTATGACAGAACTCCCTGCAACAAGCTATCATTAGACTCAGTGAACTTAAAAATGATACACATATTAGCGTCAGCATGGACTGTAATGGACATGGAAAGACTGAACGCTTATACTCCTCCATTCTCCCCTAGCAACTTCAATTCAATAAAGTCCAGAAGAAACTGCCTCCGTATGGTTCCAATGCCATTTCTACAGATTTTGATGTACCTTCTTCTGGTGTGGCTCATGCTATCCAGTGCTGGAGACCAGACAACGCATACCACAGAGCACTAACCTGACCCGGTAGGCCAATGTCTGCATTCCTGTGCTTTTCTTTCATAAGTTGGGTTTACAGTTTGTAGGTATAAGGTTTTTACGCTTAAATAACACCAATTTCTGCCTAGCCAATTATCGGCTGAATATCACAGGCACCAAACTAGAAGTGAAGCTTTTAGATGCGTAAGGAAGAGAGGCATTTACAAATTTGGTAAGAGGTGATCACTCACAGGGCAGCAATACAGAAGGGGCTTGTGGAGAGGGGAAAGCTGGTAAATATGGTTGGAATTATTGGCAAAGAAAGGCGTCTGATGATGGGATAAAATGAGAGACCACATTCAGGAAGGGACTCACACGTGAAGAAAGAACTACGCCCTGCATCTTTCTCATTGTTGAAATTCTTGTCGCTGTAAAAATATTTATTAGCTCAAGTCAAATTCAGATGTGATTTAATCTGTGTAATCTCACTGAGGTTTCCTCCATTTCAGTATCTGCTACACCACTATGTACAAGCCAACTGGAAAAGTAGCCTTTTGACCTCTATTCAACAATCACAGTAACGATACCGTTCAAATGTCCATCCATCTAAAAACTAACTTTTTGATGAAACTAGTTTCTCATTGACAATACTCAAAAGACAGCAGATCCGTAAAAGCATATTTACAGTTTTAGTAGCATGCAGTAGTAAGACGTCACTAGCATTCACCGACTCAATGCAACTGGACCATAATACAGGCAAATCAAAGTATTTTAACAAACTTATTAGCATGAGAAAATGTCCAAACCAGCTTCAGCAGGGGGATATTCCCACCACCAGTATAAGCATGCTTCTCCAAGAGGCACTAAGCCATATCTAAAAACAGGTGCAAGCCAATAAAGATGGGTAATTTCCACTATGCTGAGAAATGGTTTTAAATGTTTGGTTTCTTACAGAAACCAAAGTACCCATTTCTTTGTCTGTACTGGGAGTTGGACAGATTCATACCTGCTTTGAAGATGAAGGTCCATAGGACAGAAAAGTAAAACTAGGCAAACTGATTCATAACAAAGAGCTTTTCACAGTCATTCAAGTCAAATCCAGGCACCAAAGCAGTGTGGGGCAGCTGGTACTGCTGCTGCACCTGCTGCAGCCAGCCAGCTACTTACAGTGACAAAGCAGGTACTCTTCCACTACCTAAATTCACACAGCTTCCTTACTTTACAAAGATTTAAAGGGTAAGTATTGCCTGCAAAAAACCGAAAGCTTTGTTAAGGAAAGAGAGAGATACAGAAGTGTGTTCTGTTCTGTTGCTGTGTTTCCTCTTCCCATTACCATTTCTTCCTGGTCTTCAAAAACAGCTAGCAAGGATCCTTTCCTAGCGCAGAAGGTCTGACTAGATGTCCAGTTTTTTTCCTCCTCTGAGATGAAATAACATTTCTTTTTGTAACCTATCCACTCGCTGGGGCAGTATTCAGAAGGAAATTTTCCCTGGTACGACATCCCGTATTTTACACCTACAAAGGAAAAGAGAGAACAAAATTTCTACATGGTAAAATCTTAGCATTCATCAGCATAACTCAACCTAAAATGTAGATTTTTTGAAAGCCAATGCCACACCAGATGCCAGAAGAGAAGCCAAAGGAAGGGCAAGGGTCCTGATCTTCCCTGCCTTTCAGGAGCTGTCTTCAGCTGAGAAATGTGAAAGTTGGGGGCTGCAGCCTAATTATTACGATCAGTGGAAAATAAGTAGGGTTTGGAAAACACTCCTGAATTTTAGAGAATTAGAGGCATCAACAATTGACAATTTATACTCGACACATTTTACATCCAGTAATAAACCTCATACTGCTAATTTATTGATCAAATTCATTTTAAGAAATGAAGTTGCTTGAATATCTACAACTGGTGAGATATTTCATGAAGACAAATTGATTTGATTTTGTATCAGACCTTTAAGTGTTTGATAAATCTGTGTGAAGATAAGGAAATTAGGTGTTGATATTAGATTGGACATCAGGAAAAATTTCTTTACTGAAAGAGTGGTCAGGCCTTGGAACAGGCTGCCCAGGGAAGTGGTTGAGTCACCATCCCTGGAAGCATTTAAAAGATGTGTAGATGAGGCACTTAGGGACATGGTTTAGTGGCATGGTGGTGTGGGGTTGACGGTTGGACTCGATGATCTTAGAGGTCTTTTCCAATCTTAATGATTCTATGATTCTATGATATGATGCTAATGAAATTTGTCTGTTAATGAAAAGGTAACAAAGAGGTTTCTAATCAGCTACTCTCTTTGCTATATATAATTGGACACCCCTTAGCAAGTCACCTGTGAGCACTGCCCTCAGCCCCTCCAAGAATATGTGACTGATTCCATTTGAATAAAAGCCTAACAAAGCAAAGGAAAATCCACAGGGACAGATGTCACTACCGTCCTCCATTCATTTCCACGTGTGTGCAGAGGACCTCACTACTATACCTGATGCTGTTGCAGGGGGCAGACCAAAGATATATTTAACGCAGAGATTCAAGAGCTCCCTGTGCAGGCAGGGCTGTGGAGGCTCCATTGAGATACACATGCAGCCAGTGACTTGGATACCTCAGGTAATACCGCAGGCAGCATAGCCTTTGCTCCTATAGAAGAGTTCTGCATAGGACAGCGGGAGCAATCTGGCCTCCACTGTGCCACTGGGAGGTAGGGCTGACTTCTTCTTAAAAATACAGCGTGCAACACAAGTGGATTTTTAAAAACAAAAAGGCAGAGTGATCCCCAAAGACTATTTGTGAAAAAGATAAGCTAGCTGTATTATGTAGTTGTCTTCCACGTATGACAATAAAGGAGCCTTCAAGACCAGATATACAAGCAGCCCACACAATAAGCCTGGAGTCTATGCCTGGAGATGCAATGCTGACTTAGTGCACTAGCTGGTATAATCAGGTAAGTTACTGGTGATAAGCACAGACAAGACATGCATAGACTACATGCATGGCCAGGCAAGAAACACTCTTAAGAGTAGTAAGGATGAAGCAAAAAGAAAAAAAAAATAAGTTTACAGCTGAATCATCTGGATTTTATCCATAGGGAGAATTCTCTCTCCTTTTAAATTCTGCCTGGAGGTTATTCAACCTTATACCGACAACAAAACAACTGAAATAGTGATGAAGTCTCAGGTTTTGTGACTCTGCAGGCACTGCAGAGTACTAACGTTGATGCTCTTGACTGCTGTGATCCTTGAGCCCAACAGTCAGAGGAAACGTATCTCAAATGGAAAATGTTTCCAAAAACTTACCAACTGTAATCACGATGACCATCGGCGCAAATCCAAAAGCTAGGCATAGCCAATAGACTGTGAAAAAGAAGATCATTAATGGTTTTGTATATATGAGCGCTTAGGTTCAGACTGTATTTCAGTATTAAGTGAGACAGCAGCAGGATAGCCTTTCATTCAAGCTCCAAGTAGGTAAATACAAAGCACTACGGAAGTCAAACAAGGCACCCTGAATTGACGTTTATGTAACTGGACAGTTCAATAAAATGGCCAACTATCACCTAATTCGCATTTTTTTTGATCCATATACACCCTAAAGTTTTCCACATATGTGCAGATCCCTGTATAGCAAATTTAAGCCTTCCAGTCCCAAGTTTATCATCTCCTCTATGTTTTGCAGACCTCTTAGCAACAACCCCTGGAGACCAAAAACTCATAGGTCATCACTAATCCCAATCAAGTTACATCCATGTTTGGAAAACAGGAGAATGTTCTCATGCAATTCTAACATTAAAGGTTGAGATTCAGAGTATGGCTGCAGTCTTGAATCAAATGTATTTTCTCTTTGTCACAAGCTGCCCTTCACACACAAATTTCAATGCAGATATGCAAGCTCATCTGTTGTAAAGGCACAAGCTATTTTCTCTAACGAGGTTTGGCTTCACTTCCCACATCTTATCCAGGAGTATCTCATACAGGTAAACTACCACATGGAAAAATGCCCATTTTCACACAAAAGTATCAAACATAAACAGTTCACACTTGGATCAAACATAACAGTTATCTTAATTTTTGTGACAGCTTTGCCTAGAAGTAAACTCCCAGGTTTTGTCTTGTCCGAGCCAGGGGACCTGGAACTAGATTTGGAGCTAGACTTCAGACTTCCTGCAGGAAGGTGTCTTATCGAACACCAAAGAAAAAAATCTTACATTTTGACTGCAATAACTCTTTACAGCACCTCCCTATCCTCTGCACCCATGCTGCCAGTTCTTGTTTGGCATCTCGTTTGACATTAGTGCAGTCCACGTTCCCAACAGGTGCTTGTACCGTCCAGCTGGTCTCAGCCTCCTGTTCATCTTCAGACTCCATCTCCAGCTGGGAAACAAAGAAAGAAGCTATGTTTAATGAGTGCTTCCCCTACTTTCTATAAACGAGTGGAAATAGTAGAAATCCCAAAGCTACCTTAGTTGCACCTGAGGGGACGAGGGCAGGGTAGACGGAGAAATGAGGAAATAAATCAAAAATATGGAGCTTGTGCAACACATCTGAGGCCCACCAAAAGGAGAAGGTGGGCCTCAGATACGTTGCTCATCTCCTCCTTCCCAGGGAGGGGGGCGATGGGCAATGAGGACCGTAATGGAGGGAAAGGGAAAGGCCAGAGCAGATGGGAACAACGTGATAGGGAAGGGATGGGGCATATCAAGGCAGGAGGGAAAGGCCGCAAAAACCAGAACTTTCCACTTCACCACTATGTAGCTTAAAGTAGGTTTGTCTGCATGAGAAGTTTGGGCAATTTCCCAAGTGAGGCTTGAACCTGGTCTGCAGAGGGAATTCACTGTACCCTTTTGTGCTCACTCCAATGAGTGATATTTTCCTCACAGTTTTTCTTAAATCCCACTTTCAATGACATAGATTTAACAGAAAAAGTCACCCAAAGAAGAATATGCAGCTATAAACATTATCGTGTCAGTGCAGAAATGTCAATTCATCTTTACGAGTTAGGTTATAATAGGGGAAAAAAAAAGACCCACTCCTCTTTAGAAAAGGCTTCAACACCTTTACTTTCACTACTGTTGTTATTATTCATGTTAATTGGCACATGCCTCCTCAACTCCACAAATTCATAACAGTAATTAGGTGCCTAAATATCTCTAAGAATCAGATTCCACCTGCGCTTGGTCCATCCTACAAAAGCAGAAAGAAACTAAGGCTTGGCATTACATTCTCCAAGAAGGTGCTCCTTCCCCAAAGACTCTTCTGATTGCCCCGAACGCATCCCCAAAACACTCTGTCCATTTTAGTGACTGTATATTCATTGTTTGGGTACATTAATGTACGTTTGCTCATGGGCTGCGCCTCTTGCCTCCAGCGAGCATGCTACGCTTGTTACTGTACCGAAAAAGCACTGGTTTTGACTCCAGCCACAGAGGAGTTTCTCCTGAGCCTTCTCGTCCATGCTAGGGAAAAAGCCTATTCCCAGCCTTGGCTTTTGGGACGGAACAGTGAGCAACGCAGCCAGCTGGGGTACAGGTGAGCTACCCCTCTCTGTAACACAGGGCATTTCTTGAAGGCAGATGCTGGCAAAAGCGCTTCAAAGACCGTTTGGAAGATTGAAGAAAAACATGCAGTCAGCAATTTCCCATTGAGCCACAAAAAATATTTCCATTTCTGAGAGCTTATTTAGCTAGAGAAGTTTGCTCTCACTTTTTGGCGACCAACTTTTTCCTTTGGAGGAAACACGATGGGACCTCTGTTCTAGGCCACAAGACAACTGCAAGTGAACCACGGCGACCCAGGCCGCCCCCCCCCACCCCCGCTTCGAACAAGCTTTACTCCTCATCTTCCTCCGCTTCGGCTTCGGCGTCGGCGGGGGGTGCACAGGGGCCCGAGACGCCGCAGGAGCAGCACCCCACCTTCGC